AAGTAAAAGTGGAATGCCTTGTGTCATTTCTTAGTGTGGGTTGATGAGATACCATAATCCTGCATGCGATTTTTGCTAAATTGGTCCCACAAAAATTGTCTATTTCAGTCCTTGTGAGCTTTGCATTTATTCTGCAGGCATTGAAAGAGACCCTAATCCGACATGATTTCACCTTTGAATCAGAAACAGACACAGAGGTGATTCCAAAGCTTGCAAAGTTTGTATTTGATAAAGCTAATGAAGAAGGTTGGTACACCATGAAAACCAAGAGTGTGATTATACCTGTTGATTTTATTGTTTCACGTCCTTCACCTCAACACAAGTTCAGATATATATTGAATGACTTTAAATGGTCTAAACTAAAATTTTTAAAAGCTAAATTTTACTGCCTGATGTTATAGGAGCAAAATAATTGCCAGTCATGCAGAAAAGAAAAATGAAGCATAGTGATGGTCTGATTTTTTCACAGGTGCTGAAAGTGTGACATTCAATCAAGTTGTGCTTGAAGTAATGAGACATCTAGAAGGAGCTTATGCTCTCATATTTAAAAGCCGGCATTACCCAAATGAGTTGATTGCCTGCAAACGTGGTAGTCCACTTGTTCTTGGTGTGAAAGTAAGTTATATCTTGCTGAAAATCCTGAAATAGATTTTAAGAACCTATGTTATAGGTTTATAGAAAAATTATTTCATGCACCTGCCAAATAAGGATGCTATTGGATATTTTAAAATATGCACTGCCATTTAGCACCAGAGGAAATTATTCCATCCTTACCATAGATTATGCAACTGCTGTTTCAGAGTGTTTTAATTTATTTTCCAGCAATTATCTTCTCTATTAATTTGCACGTGTTCCCACATAAAGGTAGTTAGATTTTCACTTGATTCTTCCTATGGAGATTCTAGGTTCTTGTGTGCATATTGTATATACAAATCTACATGAATACTCTTTTCTCTAGGACTTTGAAGAAGAGGCTGCCATTGGAGCATCATTTAGTGATCCTAAATTTCCCTCAAGCAATGGGCAACCAAAAGAGTTATTCTTGTCTAGTGATGCCAATGCTTTAGTTGAACACACCAAGAAGGTCTTGGTAATTGAGGATGGTGAAGTCATTCATATTAAGGTACTCTCTTATTCAATTACTGCTGATATGTCATATTAGTCTTCTGATAATTAATCAACTTTGAGCAGCTAAGGTAATAACTTATGATAACCAAACTGACTTAAGATAGAAATCATAGAATTATGAGTTATCTGGCACCTTTTTGTTTAAATAGTTATCCTGATTTTCTTGTTTTAATTTTTCATACCTAGCCATCTATTATGAAGCTTTCTAATGATAAGGTCCAGTTGGTTTCTTTTAGTATACTATTGTTGGAGTTTTTGGAGAACATGTTAAGGCACATATGAGATAGATTCATTTACTTCATAAAATTATATGGACATGCAAAAGTAGGTAGAGAATAAGAATTATGTAGTCAATCACTGATGGGGATATAGTTGTTAGATGCAGTTTGCTAGTGTTCATGATCATTTAGCATTCTCTTTATGGCACTTGTAGAATCTTGACTTTGTGATTGAAGGCTGTATTCCATGAATAAACCATTCCTTGTAATATCATTTCAGTATTTAGGGGGATCGCTTGATATACATAGCAAGTGCACTTGACCATGGTCAAATATTCTTTTTGGGGAAAGCTTTTCCTTTTTTTTTTTTTTTTTCCCTTCCTTTATGTCAATAAAAATCCTACACAACTTGGTATGCAGTTTCTTTCCATTCTCTTTTTATGGTTATTGGTAAAAATTCTTCTAAAGGATACCCAAAAGGATTGTAAGAGAACTAACCATTCAATTTCTATGTTTATTCTTCAAGTACAATGAGGAAATTATGTTACCTGGGACTTGGGAGATGAATATAATGAAGATACATAAACATATTTTATGATATTCCTAATTTTCATGGTGCTCAGAAAATGTGTGCCTTATTATTATTATTATTATTATTATTATTATTATTATTTTGTTTTTCTTGTTTTTCCCTCTTTTGTTTTGTTTAACTTTTTTTTGTTTGTTTTAAATAATTGTGCCAATGAGACTTTTCCTTTTACTTTTTCCTAAGCTGCCTATTTTCCCTCCCTTCATTCAAATTTCAAAAAGCTTCCACAATCTTTATGCCAGTTTTTATACTCAAAATGCATGCTTTGCTAGATATATATAAACAAAATGTGCAATATATTCATTGTATTGTAAGTGTCCTGGTAAATATCTATGCCATATCATACCAAACATCAGTTTCGGTGCATTCATATTGTTATCTCAACTTCAAAACTGTTTTTCTTGTCTTGATAACCTTGACAATCCATTAATATTATGCTCGTGCTACCTGCTGTTATTAGTCAATTTCTTCAAACCTTGTTCACTTTGCCCTTGCTTCACATAGATGTGAAGTGCGAATTCCATGGAAATCATTTTTTAATGCATGGGACCCTTAAAGCTTTTGATGATGGATTTTTCAGGATGGAGGTGTGTCAATTTATAAGTTTGACCAGACCAAGAAACAGCATGGTGGTACTCTTACTAGGTCTGGTTCTGTTCAACGTGCCTTGTCCATTCTTGAGATGGAAGTGGAGCAGATAAATAAAGGAAAATATGAGCACTATATGCAGAAAGAAATCCATGAGCAGCCAGAATCTTTGACAACAACAATGAGAGGGAGGCTGATACGGGGAGGATCATGTAAAGCCAAGAGTGTACTGTTAGGGGGCTTGAAGGATCACCTCAAAACTATAAGGAGAAGCAGAAGGATTGTTTTCATTGGTTGCGGCACAAGCTATAATGCAGCTTTAGCTGCAAGATCAATTGTTGAAGAACTTTCTGGTTAGTAATTGATTGGGCATTATTTATAAGGATTTGGCATTTCTTTTACTTGTGTATTAAGTTTTTGTCTTTCAGGTATTCCTGTCACAATGGAGATTGCAAGCGATTTGGTTGATAGGCAAGGGCCAATATACAGGGAAGATACAGCTGTCTTTGTTAGTCAGTCAGGAGAAACTGCTGATACTTTGCAAGCACTAGATTATGCCTTAGAAAATGGTGCATTATGTGTTGGTATTACAAATACTGTTGGTAGTGCAATTGCCAGAAAAACACACTGTGGTGTTCATATAAACGCGGGCTGTGAGATAGGCGTGGCGAGTACCAAGGTATATAAGATTATCCTTTTTGCTTAGTTTATCCCGTATCAATTTCAGTTGTCATTTATCATCCTGATCCACAGGCGTACACAAGCCAAATTGTAGTGATGGCTATGCTGGCACTTGTAATTGGAGGCGACACACTTTCTAGTCAAGCAAGAAGAGAAGCAATAATAGATGGTCTATTTGACTTGCCTAGTATGTATTAATCGTATTCTCTTTCGATAATCTTATGCATGTTATGTTTTGAAATTGCACATCATTCTTAAGGCCACCTGTATCTATGTTCCTTCTTTTGATTGCAGCAAAAGTGAAAGAGGTTCTGAAGCTTGACCAGGAAATGAGAGATCTCGCTGAGCAACTGATTGCGGAGCAATCACTCCTCGTCTTTGGCCGAGGTTACAACTACGCGACAGCACTCGAAGGTGCACTGAAGGTTAAGGAGGTGTCTCTTATGCACAGTGAAGGGATCCTTGCCGGTGAAATGAAGCACGGTCCCTTAGCTTTAGTCGATGAAACTCTCCCGATTTTCGTAATTGCCACACACGATGCTTGTTTCAGGTACATCTTCCACCATAGAACGACAGCAACCACTTTGCATATCTTCTTATCTGATTTACACTGACACATCCAACTATTATCCATCCATCCATCGTGCAGCAAACAGCAGTCGGTCATTCAGCAGCTTCACGCCCGGAAAGGCAGATTAATAGTGATGTGCACACAAGGAGATGCAGCATCTGTTCGTGTTGGATCATGCCGCGTCATTGAAGTTCCTCAGGTTGAGGACTGTTTGCAGCCCGTAATCAACATAGTTCCATTACAGGTACATATTCCTACTCCCCTCTTACTAACTTCACTCCCTTGGGCACACAATCCTTTTCCGCTCACAAGAACCGTAAACCATGAATCCAAGAACTAACATCTGTGTCTTCCTGCATTACACAGTTATTGGCGTATCATCTGACAGTTCTCCGCGGATACAATGTCGATCAACCTCGGAATCTCGCCAAGAGTGTCACAACCGAGTAACATTCTTTTTCTCATGGAATCTTGTAATCCTTCCGGCACAACATGAGACGCATTCCAAATGCTTTGTCGCTTGATATATCCCACTTATTGTCATTTGTTCAAGCTGACAGATTAACAGATTGACCCATGCAACCTTTGCATTTCCAGAGCTGTATATCATGTGCATGTGTATTAACTGTTGAGATGCATTATTAGTACCTACTTGTTCAGTTCAATATCTTATTGGAATCCTACATATTGAAAATCTAGGAACTTGTCTTTGGCACTCATATGTATGTAGCAATATTCTTGGAAATGAGAAGACTTAATTGAATTAGTCTCATCTTGAAAATGCAGATACAGAATATTATGCAAAAAAAAAATAATCTAAAAACGCAAATTTGTACCTTTTGGAGTTGGTATTTTTTATAAATTATATAAACTATATATAAACTATTAACAAAATAATTACATATAAAGACGTTGAGACTGAGTTGTCTATTCTTAAGATATTCGTTCCCGGTTATTGACGTTTAAAAGAGGTACAGTGAAGTAAGTTTTATTATTGCTAGTAGGCGTATTAATGTAACAAGTTCTTGGGCTCAATCATAGTCTCGGTTTAAGTGATTAGCAATGCGAGTTTCATTCATACGCACATTCAAATAACGACTATAAGCTTTTTCATAAATTAAAATGTAACAAGTTCTTTGTTCTCAGAGGATGATGTTTATGCTAGTGAGGACTACGTCGTTTAAGACCAGTGTCCACCTTATAACGATTACCAGCATCCCACCCAATCAAGAGAAGCCCATCTGCAATTCCTTGATCGACCCGAGGCCCATAAAGAGTGAATTTCTCTCTCATATCAGTTATCATCTCCTTCAAATCGATAGACAAACACTTGGCATGGCGGTCGACATGAAATGAAAGCCTTATCACCCAAAATTATGGCTTCTTCCGCCGCGCCTTCTACTATCCCCATCTCCTCTTCATTTCTTCATCACCAGGAATTCAATCCGATCACTCACTCCCCCTCCGTCAAGCCTCTTTTCTTCCCCGCCGACAATAATTCATCTCTTAACCCACTCGTCATCCGCTGTAAAGACAGAAACTTATCCCATTTCATCTCGCCTAAACATGAACCCCTCCCAAAATCAGCCATTTCAGCCGCCGCAAAAGCTGTTGTTGAAGAGATAGATGGGGAAGGTTCACCTGCCTCTACTCCCACAAAGCCCAACAAAGGCAAGGCTGCATTTCTTCGCATGAACGATGGAGTATGTTTTGTTTTAATTAATGTGTTGTATTGAATTGCGGTTGTTTTTTGCTTACGACAATGCTTCCTTTATTTGAAACCAATTTCTGCCTCTCTCGACTTGTTTGCATGGTCTTATTGGTTACTGTTTTAACCAGATGAGATCGAAGAGGTTTTTGGAGATTCAAAAGTTGAGGGAGAATAAGAAAGAGTATGACTTGAAAACAGCGATTTCACTCATCAAGCAAACATCTTGCACAACGTTTGTTGAATCAGCTGAGGCTCATTTCCGATTGAATTTTGACCCAAAATATAATGATAAGCAGCTAAGGGCAACTGTGAGTTTTCTAATTGCTAATTGCTAATTGTTAGTGAAGAAGACAGTTCAAATTCCACCTTCTTTCATGATTCTGTGACTGAATTTTCAGGTAAATTTGCCCAAGGGAACAGGTCAGCCTGTTAAAGTGGCTGTTATTACCCAAGGTACATACTGCCATAAAGATATGCATTATATAAACCATGTTTTTTTCCCCCTTCATCACAAAGGAAGAAGCTCCTTGCTTGCAGTATCTCTTGTATTGCACCCTGTAAAATATGTTTTCAGACTCTTCACTTCAACCTTACATACACTGGAAATGTCAATTGAAGTACTTTCCTAGATTATCATTATGTGTTTTATTTGTATTAGGAATATGCCATCTCCCTTCACTAGATACAGTGTACTTCTCTGAATTATACCACATTACTACTGCAAAGTTGGTAGGTTGTTTGTTGACTAATCATGATGCAGTTAAATGTCCACAGGTGAGAACTTTGATGAAGCCAAAAATGCAGGGGCTGATCTGATTGGTGGAGAGGATTTGATAGAACTAATTAAAGGAGGTTTTATGGATTTTGATAAATTAATTGCAACGCCAGATATGATGCCTAAGGTGTTGCTTTCTTTACTCTTCCATTCTCTGCAATTGTTCTGACTGATCTTTTATCTTTAACATGATTTTGTGCTTAGTTTTTCTCCTCTGGAAAACCCGACAAAATATGATAATCTGAACACTTAGATACTGCAGCATGTTCTGAGTGCTATTGTCAATGCTGTTGCTTAGTCATTACACCACTCCCCTCCAAATTTTATCAACCATCTTCCCTATATTTGCCTCAACTTTAGCCTCTTCTTGATCATCACCCTGCAACTTCTGGAATCATAGCCAATATTTTATAACTTAGTGATGACAATCTAGTTTGGAACCTATTTGTTGAGCATATAACCATTAATGTGCAATCTAACTATCAGCATAGGCTTTTAGTTGAGATGGAGCACATGCTTTAATTTGCTATAAGAGCCAAACCAAAGGTCATGTGTTCGAATCTCTACCGTGTTGCTTGGAACCCACCGCACACGTGAGGGGCGTAGGGGCGTACAATCCAACTATCAGTTTAGGTGTTTGTGCTATATTTTGGCAACTTATTACCATATCCCTTTTGGCTTCTTCTTTATTTTTTATTTTTTATTTTTCCTGGTCTTGGTCACTTGAGACTGCTGATATCTTATATATTTTGTGGCTAGTTCTGTTGCTTGTGGGAATGTGAATGAACCTTCTTGCCCCGAGTCTGTTGGACTTGCTTTTATACAACGTGTTACTTGCATCAGGTTGCCAGTCTAGGAAGAATTTTAGGGCCTCGAGGACTAATGCCAAATCCAAAAGCGGGTACAGTTACGACAAATATACCCCAGGTAATGTCTCATACCTTTCTATTTACTTATTTAAGGAATGAATATCAAGATTCTGGCTGGATGTTGAACCTCGATACTGAGTTAGTTATACGCTATGAAGAGACCAAAACATGGGAATATGCATTGTATGAATGTAAATGTATGCATGACGGGAACACAACAATTTAGAAATACAGGTATAGGAGACAGAAATGAGCCTACATATTGAAATCTTCTTTCCTAGTTTCAATAATATGCTGCTATACACCATCAAACCAATTAAAACAGATATCTTCTCCTTTCTGCAGGCTATAGAGGAATTCAAAAAGGGCAAAGTTGAATATCGGGCTGATAAAACCGGGATTGTACACATGCCTTTTGGAAAAGTCAGGTTCTCAGAGGAGGACCTTCTCGAAAACTTTCTTGCAGCAGTGGTATGTATCATCGCCTTCTTTCCCTTCTCAATTCCTTAATTTCTTCATCGAAACACAAGACTACTTCCCACATGATCATGGTGAATCAACTTGCTTTCCATTCCTTTTAATTCACAGCAATCAGTAGAATCAAACAAGCCATTGGGCGCGAAAGTGTTGTACTGGAAAAGTGCCCATGTGTGTTCATCCATGGGTCCTTCGATTTGATTAAACGTAAGGGAGATGCTGGATTTCAAGCTTCCAAGTTCCAACAACTGCTTAGTATAGATAGTATAAACATAAACCTGTAAAGTGTATTTTATGCCATTGAAGAAGCTTCTTATTTGGCCATAGAGGGTATATAGCAATCTACCATAGAAGAGAATAAGAGATGTAAGAACCTGTTTAGTTGCAAAGAATATTTATCAATTTTTAAAAATTTTATAATCTTTTAATTCCCTATTTTCAATTATAAAATATGAAAATTTGATTGCTTTTTATATTCTTTGGTACATGATTCCTTTCTTTAAGTAAAAATGTATAAAAAAGATTGCACATTACCCCAATCCTGAACATCTCCACATTCTCTTCCTCAAATTTGTTTTAAATTGGATAACTAGTTAGTCTCGTGAACATATGAATATATCGAGTTATATCTCGAGATATATATGGTAGGTCGGGTTAAGCTGAATTGAGTTAATATCATTTTTTTTATAATTTAAAAAGTTAATGAAAAATTAAAGTGAATTATTAATCAAAACTTACACAATACGTTAATTAGAGAAATCTGTATGGTAAATGAGCAGAAACTATCTTTTTGAAAGTATTTTGAAAGTATTTATATGGTAAAAAATGAGCAGAAACTATCTTTTTGAAAGTATTTATATGGTAAATGAACAGTTGCACTTTAAAATTATCTTTTTGAAAATATGTAAAAGAGTCAATATCTCATTGTGATTCAAATTTGTAACCTCCTCCCATTTAGAAGAGTCACAGTTATACAATTTGATTGCTCTATTTAGTTATTTTTGCTATTATAGATATATTCTCAATAAAAAAAATCATGAAATCTTTATTTCCTGATTGGACCTTCAATAAATATACAGTACAGCTCAGGCTTGATGCACCCACCAAGGAAAAAAATAATAATACTTAAAAAATAAAATCTGATACGCTCACTGGGTTTTATTTTTATTTTTTATTTATTTATACAGTACATAAATAAAGCTTCAAATCTCTCTCTCTGCGGTTTCGTTCCTCTGAACTTGTCCGGATCCCTTCCTGTTCGCTCCTAGGGTTAGTCTCTTTCTTCTCTCTGAATTCTCCGTATATGGTTACCTATAGTTCGTAGATATATGCGAATTATGGTGCGCTCGGTTTTATGTTTCTTATTTTTTTTGTTAATTTAAATTTTGGTAAGAATTTCAAAATTTTCTTCGATTTTTGCTAGTTTATGGTATGAATTTGAGGCGCGGTTGTTTGAGCTGTTGAATAGTAATTTTTATTTTTATTTTTTGAAGGGATAGGAAGCAAACACTTGAAAGAAATCATCTTTAATCTCCTCAGCGAACAGGTCAGCTTGGTATTTTCTTCGATTTCTGGTTTAAGTGAATTTGTTTATAGATGGAACTGAATTATAGTACTTACTGTCGTTTTTGCGACTGAGATGAGAATTATTCTCTTTTTCCTGTTTCTTGGTTTGTGTTTTTGTTTGTTTGTTTGTTTGAGAATTTTGCATTAGAAAGTTTTTTGCATATGTTTTACAATTTTTTTTATCCTGGTTGTGCTTAGATTTATGTTAATTACACATCTTTAGTTTTCATGTACCACTTTGTAATGGTTCTCCTTAACATCATATACATATGCATGTGTGTATTTGTTTATTTATGAATTCATGAGGTATGTTTACTATTTAGTGGCCTGCTAAAAGGATATAACACCATTTTGCTGAGATCGAGTGATATGTAGTGGCTGAAGAGTTGTTGATTTGAAATTATTCTTACAATTCTCTGAAAAAATAGACTTATTAAGGATTTTGATGAGTTTCATTTTTATTCTTTATGTCATCTCTCTGTTAAGGATGGGAAGTCCCTGTGCAACCTAAAAGTTGTTCAGTGTGTTAGCAGTGCATTTTTTTTTAATATTTATCTTTAGGTGTGTCTATGGGTCAAGCAAGAAGGTAAAAACTTTTCTTATTGAGCTATATGTTATATTGTTGTAACAGAGTCATTCGATTGATTTTCCTATTATCTGGTTTATGGAATGATATCATTATAAATGATTTACTTGAGCTAATTTTTTTTTTTTTTTTCTTTTTAGTGTGTATCGTTCTTCTTCTTGTTATAGGCATGTTTTTATTGGATTGTATTTCACAGTTTTGGTTGCATAGTTTTGTTTTCCTATCAAAATTACTCTGATGCAAACTTAGAGATGTCTTGGAAATATCATTTCATGGCATTCTTTTAGAAATTGGGTTCATGTGTGCTCTGTAATCAAATACAAACCCTACAGTACAGAAGTTCATCCATAGATCAATCAACATTCCATTAGCAGTGAACTGCTTAGAAAGTCAATATTTACCCTGCCTTGAATCTTCTGATGTTAGAAAGCTAGCGTCACCTGAAATTGTGAAAGTTGGCATAAATATTTTGTCGAAAAATTACTTGTGAAAAAAAAAAAATCCTGTGGTCACTCTAAATTGAGAAAAAAAAAAAATCTTTCCAACAAAATAACAAGAGCATGGGACCTGAACACTGGATTGAGGACATAAGCATGTGCCCTTGCGTGACTGCCCAAAATAATATGGGCATGCCTTAGCCATCTCTGAGTGTGTCCAATGAGGGACATGCTGCGCACTGTGCCCTTGGCCTAAAAGGGCATCTGTGTATGAAGGCACTGGTTTACCATCACAAACTGGCCTTCATGTGGTATAATTTGTTTGTACTAGCTTTAAAGCATGTCATATATGATGTGCATTTAATTGCTTGGATTACTCTATTTGCAATATGGCTGTTCTGTATAAGCTTTGGTTCACAATTCTGGTTTGTATGATTTAATCCATCTTTGTCATTTGGCAATTGTGATACAGGAAAGTCCAGAACATGGAACAAAACGGTGCTGGGTGCCAAACTCCTCAAGCTCCTACGCTTTGCGTCAATAACTGTGGATTCTTTGGAACTCCATCAAACATGAACATGTGTTCCAAGTGCTATAAAGATGCGATGTTGAAACAAGATCAAGCTAAACTTGCTGCTTCTTCGCTCGAGAGTATAATGAATGGCGACTCCAGCTCCAGTGCGAAGCCAGTAGGTGTCACCCTAGCTGCACAGGATGGTCCCACAGAGACCCTGGCGGTACCAACCCAAACATCCTCCCCGTTGTTGGAGAATGTCAATGGGGAGAAGCCCAAGGAAGGTCCAAGCAGATGCAGCAGTTGCAGGAAGCGTGTTGGCTTAACAGGTTTCACTTGTCGTTGTGGAAATCTCTTCTGTTCAGCCCATCGTTACTCAGACAAGCACGACTGCCCTTTCGACTACCACAAGGCAGCTCAGGACACAATAGCCAAAGCCAACCCGGTCGTTAAGGCTGAAAAACTCGACAAGATCTAGCCAGGCGACTTCACTTCACAGTGAGTGTTCACAAACTCCTATATATCCATCCCAGTTGTCGTTTCCATCGTGGCTTCGGTGATATCTCTGTAGTGACTTATGAGATGCCTAGAATGGTGAGAGAAAGAAGGTAGTCTAGGCTTGATATGGCATCTAGTGATCAATGAATTCTATGTTATTTGTTGTTGGTGTGGGGATTATACTTTGGTTTGATCTCAAGTCCTCTGTACTCTGGCTTGTTGGGCTTTTTGTGCTTTCATCTTCGAATGTAGTGGCACCAATATACCAGCAGTTTGTTTATCCAAAATTTGCTTCAAATAATCTTTGACATATTTGCCCTTTATTATTATTATTATTATTATTATTATTATTATTATTATTATTATTATTATTATTTGCAATGATATTTTAGTCTTTATATCACTTCTTCCCTTCATCCCTAATAATTTGTAATTTGAATTCCTACGATATTTTTACCTTGTTCTTTTTGGTAAATTATTCTGTGGGCCCGAGTTCACCTTGCAAGGTGGACTCAGATATAAAAATACACAATTTATATATTTAATGTTTACTATTTATACAATGAATGTTCACAATTTTACATAAATTGTGTATTTTAGACCCAAGTCCATGGTATACCATCATTATTGTGTGGACCATATTTTGTATACTGTAAAATAATGTACTTTTAGTATATTAAAAATGTACATTGTACTCGGAGGATGTACATTATTTTTGTACTAAGTTATCTGAAAATTCCGTAGAATGATGTCTGAAATCAATTGATGTTGTGTGGGTCACATTATATTGTATAATGTACATTCAATATAGAAATAATGTACATTTAGTATATTAAAAATGTGCTTTTTGTTATAGTTCACACAACATTGTGTGGATGTGTGGACTGGTCCACACAATAATTTACTCATGACATAACTATTGATTCTTTTTTCATCGAATTATAATTCTTAGCTGTGATATATGGGCCGGGATTAATTATAAAATAATAATATATGGATGAAAGCAAGCTAAGCGAGTTGATCGATCAAGTTGTTGCCGGGGTGGCCACGACAGTAACATTGAACGAAGGCAGTACGGTGACAGCTTTGTTGAATGTCACAGCCGCAGAAATGCAATGAATTTGTAGTAAAATGAAGATGGATATAGCATGTGAATGTGAACTCCCCTCCCACATGCATTTTCATCACACTAGTTGGCTGTCTCCTGTTGGGCTACTTGCTCAATAAATGTATCACTTTTTTTTTTTTTTTTACTCGCATTAAAACCGTTACAGTCAAATTAACCAATCATTACATGAAACAAGACCACACAATTCTCACAAAACCCGTGGTAAAAATTGAGTAATCACATTTTATAATTTAATTTTCTTATGAATCGTTACCTGATAAATGACTAAACCATTATAAACAACTCATTGTTTGTTAAACGAAACTCCTATTGATCTGGATATGATTTTTACTCCATCTCACATGTTCTTGATGTAAATACTTTTTTGTAGAGTCACATGATAAAAATAATCAATTTTTATTTGTCACTTTAGAAAGTAAAAGTAAGAGAATAGAATTTGAAACTATCAATTTGTGCAAATTGCATGTTTGCTATGGAAGAAGTAAAAGTAGAAATAGTAGGACCCACCCCGGATGGACCCCCCACATAAATACCTCCTTCCACAGAACCAACAATGGCCGAATAAATTAAAGCAGAAATTTTATGTGGTGTATATGGAAATGCATAAATTTTTTACTATTTTATTTTATAAATTTAAAACATATAATATTTGTTCAATAAAAAATAAATAAATCAGATTAAATATATACATAAAATAGGAGGGAAAAGCATGTCGTGTGGCGTATAATATTTTTTGAATTAATAAAACAAAAACAAAAACAAATTTTAAGGATTAGACTAATCAAATTATTTGTGGGTCCCGCTGGTTGGCCGTGGAATCTTTCTAAAGAGATAAGCAATGTGACGCGGAGACCGGGCGAAGATACGTGGACCACCACAGTGGGCACCTACCAATGGGGAGCCAAAACGTGGCGAGATACGGAATCAACACGTGTGAAGCCACGTGTACCCAAGGTGTGTATAAAAATATATAAAAAAGTGGAAGAGTTGGAGATAGGTTAAGATTGTGAGAAAGAGACGGTCAGTTTGGGCGGCTGAGAAACAGCCCAACTGGTTGGGTGTTGATCCTCGACTTGCTTAATTCTAAATTTTCAATAAATTAAAAAGAATAAGATATGAACATGATAGATAAATATAAAAGAAGAAAAAGAAAACTATAAAAATATATATTACAATGTAATAGAATTATTATTATTCAAAAAAAAAAAACTGTAAATGAAATAATGCGTTTAGTGGGTGCATGGACAGTTGTAAACTGTTTCTCTGATTTGGTGTGATGTGATCAACTCAGTCCAATATAGCCTAAAAATACAATTAAGATCGAGATTCTGGTTCAGTTTTGGGAGATTATTTCCGTTATTATTTTGAAAATCACTTTCTTTAATTTATATTTTAGAAGATAGATCAACTTATAATTAATACATTTAATTTGAGTTTTGAAAAAAACTTGTGAAAAAAGCTAAAAGCAAATAACAATACCTTATTTTTCCAAATTCTTTTGAGATTTCATACTTTATTTTCAACCGTTTATGCTGGCCAAATATCTAGGCCGTAAATATTAATCCACGTGTTATACTGCTATTTGCTTACCCAATCACTCTGCCAATTTGAGCATATTACATCAGTCAACTTGCAAAGTATTGGTTAAAATTTTCACCACAATATAAATATATTTTGAATAAAAAATATAAAGTTGAAACTCAAATCTTATCAAAATGTACAAAAATAAAAATAAAAATGTATCCAATTGCGTAAAGATGGTTTTTGCCCACCATTTACAACAAGTCCAGGCTGTACCATATTATAATATAAAATATTAAATATCCTCCAATTCTTTTATTATTTTATTGGCATGAAAATAACAAATAAAATTAATTAATTAATTAAAAAAATATGATAATGCGACGATAAAGTAAATAACACGTCAGAGCGTGCAAATCCAGATTCTGGAACCTGCACCTCAAATTGGCGTAATTTGGGAAAAGTTACGGGGGTAATTTGGTCCATACAGAGGTATCCAATTTGCCAGATACGCGTATCTATGAGGCCATTATTCCTCAATTTTCTATCGCCATTGCCAACTTCTTCCACCTTAAAACTCCCTTTCTTCTCCTCAATTCTCAGCTCTCTTTTCTTCCTAATCTCTCTCTCCCTCTCTCTCTAAGGATTTCTGATTGTTTGGTAGTTTTTTTGGTTTTGAGGATGGCTCAGAAGACGGGGAAAGAGGAGACGGAGTTCAAGGTAGTACCTGAGACGATAACGCTTTGCGTCAACAACTGCGGCGTCACCGGGAATCCGGCCACCAATAACATGTGCCAGAAATGTTTCAGCGCCACCACCGCCGCCGCAGGCTCGTCGTCCGCCGCGATCCATCATAAATTCGGCGAGAAACAGCCTAGATCTGGCTTCAGGAGGTTGTCGCCGGAGAGGACGAGTCCGGATCTAAAGAGGCGAGAGGATCGGACGGTTGCGCGTGGAGAGAAAACTGTCGAGGAGGAGGAGGAGGAGGAGGAGAATCGGTCCCCTCCTGCTAAGAGAGAGGTGAATCGGTGCTCCGGCTGCCGGAGGAAGGTCGGATTGACGGGATTCCGGTGCCGATGTGGCGAGCTCTTCTGCGGCGAGCACCGGTATTCCGACCGACACGACTGCAGCTACGACTACAAAGCCGCCGGCCGAGACGCGATCGCGAGGGAGAATCCCGTCGTGAAGGCCGCAAAAATCGTTAAGGTTTGAACGTGACGAGACGTATAAAATACGCACATCAAAACGGAAAAAGGATCGGTCGACGCTCTCTTCGATCTCTGCAGCTCATATCGTTCTTCTTGTCTGTTATAAACAAAAAAAAAAATCGGATAAAAGATGGTCGAAGAAAACTTCGCTACGATTAATATTGTTTTCTGATTTGATCTTAAGGATTGTAGCTTTACGATTCCTAATTAGAATTTCATAGATTTTAATCTGTTGTTAATGAATTCTCATCCCCTTCCAAACCTCTCTGGTTTTCACCGAAAATTCGCCTCCGATTTTCTCACCAAGTAGACCGACCTGTTCATCTTAAGGTTACATGCCGTAAATTTGACTGGCTCATGGGGGCAGTCTTGTCATTACACCTATGATTGAGACGAACTTGTTGTCATGACTCGTGATAAAATAGTAGTGAATCGCGAGATATTAACGAACGGTCAAGAGATATACACCACCGCGATATAGCCTCTAAACGGAGGATCACTAGTACAAATTTGCACATCAACTACACTATATATATAAGATTCTAAGCTTTTCGCGACACCCTTATAAGATTCTTTATATATATATATATATATATATATATATATATATATATAGTAAGATATATAATAGGATTACTATTGATAAGGATTATTCTTCGATTATGATCATAAGGTCAAAAAAAATTACAAAAAACACTTTTGGTTGACCCTGTGTGCTGTGAACATGATTACACAACCAAGCTCGTTATACAAGACTATTACATATAATCCTCTTAGTTAATCCTGTTACATAAATTTTTTGTGTGGTTTGAGAGCTATATATTAGTATATTACACATAGCCTTTTCAGTTGAACATGACATACAAGATTATGTGTGATTTGCAAGCTATATGATACATAAGTCACATTATTGTGCACTGCCTCGTGCGTGGTTTACACACTATTTATACATTGGGATTGAAATACGCTAGGTCAAGCCAATTTTTAGATAATTAAGTCTGAGACCTGCTATAGAAATCTAAGGCATGAGCTTGAGTCTGGATCTGTATGTAAGTTTGTTGTCAAATTCAAATTCAAATTGTCAATTAAGTAGTTAATTTGTTCGTGAGCGATTTAGATTTGAGAATTAAATGTGATAAGATTTTAAAGATTGTGAGACTAAATATAAAAAAAAATTAATAATTAATACGGAGTAATTAAAAGTAAAAAATGGTGGTAAGATCACAAGTGAAAAAAGCTTCATATATATTTAATAAAGACATAAAAAGTAAATAATAAAATGAAACAATGTTATCAGGTCGGTGTTGTAGTGAAAAAAGCTGCAAAAAGCCTATAAAGGAGAAGGGCATTGTCAAAATTGTCAGAGCCATTTACATTGTTAGGCAAGTAGTTGAGACTTTAATTCCAACATCCAACTAATCTTTTTATTTTCTCCTTCCAAAGACTCAACCTCAACTTTAAAGACCTTCTACTACGACCCGACAAAATATTTGGGAGATTTTTTTATTTTCTTGATTCAACTTTAAGGTTGTCGATATTTTGAAGCCTCTTAATCATGTTGGTCTAAATAAACTCAAATCCGGATAATTTTAGTCGTTGAATAATTAATTTGATAAAAATAAAATTTTAAATTTGATTTCATGTAAGGGTTATCTATTAATCATAACCTTCCAAATAAAAGTCTAAAAAAAAAAAAGAGCCAAAGCCAGTAGCATTCAAAAAAAAATAATTATTTATTAATATTCTTTGTTTGAGACAATTTAAATTGTATTATTTATTTGTGATCTTTTATTAATTAGGTTACAAAATGTATTTTACATCTAAATAACGACTTTAACCTACATGATTATTTAACAGCAACAACAACAAAGATTAGTAAATTGATGTCAGTAAGCTACATAAGAAATATGAGCTGGTTTATTTTATTGTGATTTTTAATCAACAGAGGTCATAAGAATGGTGTTATTTATAACGCATGATCGAATAGTGGTTACAAACATTTTTAAAAATCAAAGTAAATTGGTGCTTGAAAAAGATGACTATATAAATGAAGTATGATTTTTATATCAGAATCTTAAAAGTTTAATTCTTGTCAATATATATGTATATATATTTTTTTATCGAATTCATCATACAAAGCTATGATAAAATAGGATGACTGGATGAGTAAAAGCTTGTAAACAATGGCATGCAGGAAACGGAAGGCCCCACTTTCTTTATGGGCTTTTAGTATCTATTCAAATCATGAAATAATCTTTAAGGGACCATGTCATCCAAATTTTGGCACTAAAATAGAAACTTTCTTTCTTGGATGCTCATCAAAGCAATACCATCTCCTGGCCCATATCCTATATATCTTTTTTTTTTTTTTTTTTTTAAATAATTGTATAATTTTACCTGATTGGTTATAAGAGCATCTATAATAGTGGGTTTTTTTTTTTTTTTGATCTTTGAAGAGTTTTTGTAAGTATGATTAGGAAAGAGAAGGGAAGGGAAAACAAAAAAAAAAAAACCTGACAGCTGACACGGAATTTAAAGGTCATTCAATCTTTGTCTCGACAGGAGTAGAGTTGAATTTGCTGATAATGTTGCTCTTAGAGGTGTTCACCCATGTGGTTGGCACTATGTACTCAAAATACCATATGTGTGAATTCTTTATTAGGTCATGATGAACAAATTAAATTCACGAGTAATAATGAAAATATAATTTAAAAATATTTTATTTAGTATGAAAAATACTCTATGACGTGAATAGAGATGATACGTTATTTTTATCCTGTGAATTTTAAGAAAAAATCAGCATCAAAATATTTTTCATTAAAAAAAAAAAACATTCTTCTTAAGGTTCATGCATTAGTATGAGGTAGACAAATTGTATTGATATTTGGTTGATAATTGATTGATTAGGGGCACGTTGGCTTCATTGATTTGAGGGTGACATGAAGGGAATCTGGTGATTAGTACTCCATTAAAGAATTATTGAATTTTCTTTGAAAAAAAAAACTAATTATTTAATTATTAGTTGCGAACTTTGCCTAAGTGCGAAATCTTATCTAAAATATATTGCTGGACTACTCTAATGAAACATTACTCTATCTAAATTTATTGATTATCTAACCTTTTTTTTAATATAAATTTTATATTTATATCTACTCATAAATTGATTTATTTTTATTTTTAAATTATTCAGAAAAATTAATGATTTCATGCAAAAAGATCAGAAAAAAACAAGAAATTAAAGTGAATAATATTTGTCACAGTTTATTCATGAGTATGGAAGGGAGGGAATTGAATACAGCTTGAACATGACAAGCAACCTCGGAAAACAAGGTTATTTGGCTACAAGATTCCGGTCAGGATACCCCATGCCGGCCGGCCGCCGGAGGTTTGTATATATTCTACAAGTGAAGAAACTAATCGCCGTAAATTCGTAACAATTTAATTCATCATTCTCTTGCCTCTTTTTCTTTCGCCCATCACGGCGGCCGTGAGCGTCGGGATGCTCTGTTCATGCCGGAAAAAGTTGTCGGGATCGACCTTCGTCTTCACCTGGACCAACCTGTTAAAGTTGTCTTTGTAATACATGTTCCCCCACGCGCTGGCCTGCATGAGTGTAGCGTCGTCGCCGCTCTTATTGCTGCCCAGATCGAGGTCTCTGTAGTTCACGTACGCTTGTCGGGGGGAACTGGAAACGTAGCGTGTCATGTACGCGTGGAGCTTTCTGATCCAGTCGATGTGACGCGCCGCCGCCTCGTCGTCCATTTCTTCCCAGAGCGTTAAGTACTGGATCTTGTAGATGACGCCTTTCCGGTGGGGGAATGGGGTGGCGGATTCGGAGATGTTGGCCATCATGCCGCCGTAGGGGTTCCAGATCGTCAGCGGCGAGTCCTCGGCGAGGAGGCGCTTCCACAGGCCTTCCAGCCCGGTTTGTGGGATGGGTTTTGTGACGAAGTCGGATTTGGCTTTGAAGTAGTTTTTGAAGAGTGGTTTTCCGTCCAGGAGAACTTCCGGCGGCGTGTTTGTTGGGAATCCGGCGATGTAGAGGATGGACTCTATCCAGCTCATTTCTATGCAGTCATGTTTGGTTAATCCCAGTTCCGGAAAGCTCTGCTCCATTACCTGTAACCACATAATCCACATAATAAACATATTTAGTAAATTAGTCTAAAAGATGATTACTTACCAAATAACCTTTAACCGTATAATTTATTTTTTCAAAAAAAAATTCAATATTTTTTAAATTTAGCGTTTTGGAGCACTGAACTAACTATGTCAACAGTAACCTCAATTCATAAAATCAATAGTATATAAGTTCCTGCATAGGCAGCTCAACTGGTCATAAAGGTGAAAGTTAGAAAGAATGACCAGGAATCAAGTATCACCAGTGACAGTGTGGGAGTAACATCTCAAAGTGAGAAGTGTGGGCAGTGAGCAAATGTCTAGCCTTTGTGGTTCATTTATATAAGTTGTTAAATTGAGTAAAGAAAAAAATTGGAGAACTCTTATACCAATCTCTTATAAATAACCAAATTGTCCATAAAACCTTTATACTAACCTCCCATCAAATTAATGATCATTAAATTACCTATTTGGACCAAATTCTTTAATTTAATTGACTTAAACGTTACTGTTTCAAAAAAGATTGAATTAAAACGTTACCTGGAGGAGTCTGTCGGCTCCGCCGAGGAACAATGCGTTGTAGGCGGTTTGGACGGTCCGGTTGGCGGGTCCGCCGCCTCCGTTTACCACCGATATCTCCACCCGGATGAAGAGATCCTCGTCGATTTTATCGGCGATGTTTTGCCACTTGTACAGGATTTTGGTGGCACCCTGTTCCAGAGTTTTTGGAACGGTGAAAACCGTCACGGTCTCCGGGACCGGGACTAACCTTAACTTCCACGACAGTATAATCCCGAAATTGCCCCCGCCGCCGCCTCTGATCGCCCAAAACAGGTCCTCCCCCATGGCTTCCCTATCAAGAATCTCCCCGTTCGCGTCGACGATTCTGGCGTCCAAAACGTTGTCAGCTCCGAGGCCGTACTTCCTCATCATGGCACCGTACGCGCCGCCGGTAATGTGTCCACCAATTCCCAAACTGGAGCACAGCCCGGCGGGGAAGCCATGGACCTTACTCTTCTCCGATATCCTGTAATACACTTCTCCCACCGTCGCCCCGGCCTGCGCCCACGCCGTGTTCGCCGTTATATCCACCTCCACCTCGCGCAGCCGGCCGAGGTCCACGATCACGAACGGCGACTCCGTCTCGGAAATATACGACACCCCTTCGTAATCATGGCCGCCGCTGCGCACTCTGAGCTCAAGCCCGAGGTTTTTAGTGCAAACCACCGCCGCCTGCACGTGGGCCTCGGAAAGCGGGGTGAATATAATCTGCGGCTTCTTGATCGACGGCTCGAGGCACCGGAGATTCTGGGCTGTGGAGTTCAGAACCGCCGTGAAAGCCGAAGCATTATTCTGCGGGGTGAAGAAAGCGTCGGAGAACGGGACAGAGAAGCCGGATTTGGTGGAAATGCATTGGTAGAACTTATCGTACAGTGACGATGAATCTGCGAAGGCCGCCGGAGTTGACAGCACAAGAATGAACAGTGAGAGAAAAACAGAGTTTAAGGTTGCCATCAGGCTCTGTCTGTGTTGCTGTTTCTATGTTGTTTGGCGATGTAGAGAGTTTAAGGTTGTCGTATATATAGGAGAAGATGATGACTTGGGTGATATAATGCAAACGTCAAAGTTCAAGATTTGATTTTGCCTCTTCAATGCAATTTTTAAAATTATTATATAAGAATAGTGATAATAAATTTTACAATCTTTCGAAAATATGTAATGGATGAGATAATAAGGCTTGAGTGGTCCGTCATCATAGAGTGGTCTACCAGGCCTAACAAGTGTAAATTCCTATGACTATTCGATCTATAGAAGTGATTAAGTCATATTGGAAGATAATTTTCTCAATAATTAAATATTGGAAGAAGACAATTAATAATAATCACACATTTATAAAAAATAATCAAATCAACCTAAATTAATTTTTTTTAAGACCTAAATTAGTTCCTATTACCAAAAAAATATCATCTTTCCTAAATCACATCTTCATCTCACAAATTATCATAAAAAAATATATACTCAAGTACCAATGTACCATAATGAGTCTCTATTACCACATCCACACCTCCCTTAAACATGAGACTCTATACAAAATTATACATGTACAAAATTTCTTGCAAAGATAATGAATTTAAATTTGACAATTAACACTATCAAAAGAGACTTATGATTTTCAAGTGAAAAATACTGTGTCTATTTATTTTTTCTTTAATTGTTTATATTTAATTTTATTATTCGATCAGTAATGTTTACTAGCGGCCGGGCGACGGTCCAAAGGTTAGGTTTTGGTGAGTGGTGTAGGAATGATAGATAATTGCATTAAAAGAAGATTATTGTTTACCAAAACATAGTTTAATCAACATTTGTCCCAAGATGTTGCCACTTTTGACCACCTAACTAACTTTAATTTGTGTTTATCTGGTCTTCATATGATGAGCGAGCTATAATTCTACCGCATTTCTTGCCTTCCAACATAGTAATTGAACTGGAATGGTGTCTTGTCTCTATTCGTATCTTCAAACCCATAACTTTGGTAATATGGTAAAAATTCGTCTATTTTTTTTTTTAAAAAAAACTTTAATATTATAAAATTGAAGAACATATCATTCCAAATGTAAGGATAAATTATACCAACACAATCCGCTATTGCAAAATATAGTCCAAACTTTCCAAAAACCAACATGCCGGCCTCTTGCTAACCAATATGAATTGCATAGTCGATCATTAACTTCTAGATGAATATATATAGTACAATATTATTTCAACTTTCTTCTTAATATAAGCTTACGGAAAATAAAGATATGTAATATGCTAATATGGATTTCTCTCTCATTAAGATTATCAACAAGAGTGTTCTTAATTTTATTTTTTATATATATAAAGAAACTCGATCTCTAGAACTACGTCAATGAACCCTTTATCCCAAGCAACTCGGGAGTCCATGATAACTTGTTCAAACCTACAAAACCATTTGCCACTTGATCTCTTGATGGCTCTTTGTCACTTCTGTTAGTGCCTGCGCACCACAAAACATCCCACGTTTCGTTTGATAAAAATAAATAAATTTTTTAAAAAGTTTTACGTCACCCATATAATCACGTACTAATACTTATTTAAAACATGTTATATCTTTTTATTATTTATAATAGTAGACACGATATTTTCTTGATCTGATAACGTAAAACTTTTATAAATGTTAACATCGTTACTTTGAAAAAGGAAGTAAATGAGTCAATCTTGGGGTTTTGTCAAAGCATGGGTGTGAAGACTAATCAACACGTACTCCTAAAACGTGGGGTTGAGGGAAACATAATCAATTAAGCTAAGGAAGACTATGGTGGTTTTGCAATGGCGTATTTATTTGCGGGACTGGCGCATATATGTTGGCCAATATATGTTGTAATGTTCAACCAAGCCAAGTGCTCTGAGCCAAGATTTAAATGCATAATGAGAATCTTCCCTTTTCACATTTGGGCAAATAGTCAATAGTCTTTCCATTCAAAAAGGCTTATTTGTTTTTTCGATCAATTCTAGATATCCTTATCATTAATCAATTCATAATGATATGCTCATTACTTAACCACAACACATCACATAGTAGATAATGATCTCATTACTTAACCACAACAGATCACATAGTAGATAATGACAAGAGCCCGCATAAACAGCTCAATTGATTCTTGGTGGTAGATTAATATATTGTAGACAATGACACAATATTAAGTTTTGATAGTGGCAGTGTGAAAGTTTCACCTAATGTGATGAGCTCCTTGAGAGCATGAAGTATTAATTTTTCTACTTAATATGCTATTAAGTTATCATGATTTTGTTTTTTGAAAGGAAGTTATCATGATTTATCTTTTCACTATCATAAGTTTGCGGGCCGCCCGCCCTAAACCTCCCTACAGTGGGGTGAGTTAGGACCTAAAATTTCTTATTCACATGGGATTAGCGGGCTGCGGGTAACCCATGGACTCACTATATATATATATATATGTATATATATACACATATATACATATATATATATATATATATATATATATATATATATATATATATATATATATATATATATATATATATATATATATATATATATATATATATATAATTAGGTTCTGGTGCGGTTAAGGTGCCAGGTGCGGTTGTGCGGTTTAATCTGGGCCATTCATCTTGCTTAAATCAACGTCTAGGATTACCAAATTTTTTTAAAAAAACGCGGTGGTAATTTTGTAATTTTTGCATCTAGGTCAAAATTAAGGTGAGCGGATTTGTGATTAATATGCGTGAGGTTTGTGCGTAAGGTGCGTGAGGTTTGTGCGTAAGGTGTGTGAGGCTTGTGCTTAATGTGCGTGGGGTTGTGCTTGATGTGAGTAGTTGTTAAAACTTAAAGTCTGTGAGTTAATAATTAAAGTGCGTGAGTTATGTGCTTAATGTGCGTGAGGTTGTGCTTAATGTGTGCGAGTTTTGTACTTAATGTGCGTGAGTTTGTGCTTAATGTCAATAGTTGTTGAAACTTAAAGTCTGTGAGTTAATATTTAAAGTGCGTGTGTTTTGTGCTTAATGTGCGTGAGATTGTGCTTAATGTGTGTGAGTTTTGTACTTAATGTGCGTGAGTTTGTGCTTAAGATCTAACACTTAAGGTGCATGTTTCTATCACTTAAGGTGCGTCATTTTTAGCTTATGCTTCTTTCTTCCAGACACGCGTTTTTTTTTTTTTTTTAAATTTTCATTGATTTGAGCCGTTGATCTAAATTTGATCAACAGCTCAGATCTAACTGCACAACCGCACGGGAAGCTATACCCGCACCTGAACCCTTCCATATATATATATATATATATATATATATATATATATATATATATATATATATATATTATTTTTTTTCAAGTTGGTTCGCGGGACCCATGAACTCGCATGAGGTGGCTTAGGGTTGAAGAATTAACCCTGTTTGGTAAATGACTGTTAGCTGATAGTGTTAGCTATTAGCTGATCTGATTGAGTTAATTAGAAGGTATAACTAGCATTAGCTGATTGTAGAAATGTGTTTGGTAAATTAACTGTTTGCCGATAACTGTTTGGTATAATTTCTTTTCTCAAAAAGCTAATTGAAAAAGTTGTTTTGAGTAGCTTTTTGAATTTTAGCATTTTAGAGTACAAAAAGCTAATTAACCAAACACTTATATTGATTTTATTTTTAAACCAAGTCAAACAATTAATAGTGGTCAAATAAGTCAAAATTGATCTATAAGCTAACTATTTTACCAAATAGAACCATAGTCTAGCATGCAAGCTAACCCGCAAAAATTAAAACCCGCAGTAGAATGGTCCAGTCCGAATTGCTACCCCTAATTGTTAAGATGAAACAACGCCCAACACTATGTTGAAAGTTATAGATGATATTAAATGCATAACTGTATTTTATTATACTTGTATAACAATCAATATCAGATTTGATCATCCAAGTCTCCATCAAACAAGATGTCTAGCAAAAACATAATCTCTCATGTAGCCATTAGAGATCGACCCGTTAAATTAATTGAAATTAACCAATCATACATAGAGGAGATGCGCGTGATATTACAAGAAAACAACAAAACACCAACAAATTTAATCTTTGAGTTAAATAGCTATATCTTATATACCTACCTACCTATAAACTTCCGTGTTTTAATTAATTTACCAACGGAGAACCCAACCCAATACCCACGTACAATCCACTCCACAACACGTAGAAAGTCTAGAAGACACAAATCACATGCAACTACGCAACGTAACTCAACTATATTACATTAATTAGGTGCCTTTCAAGCATTTGCTACCGAAATATTTGCGTTGAAGCAGCATTTTAAGGTTGCCATTACGCACTGTCGGCACAACCCCAAAACTTAACCTTCTACTTCACTAATCATCATCATCACTACGTACTTAATCACCATTATTTTTTTATTAATTAATTAAATTCTTCAGTTAATTGTGTCACTTTCCCCAAACGTCAAAGTCATCGTGGGGCTGTGTACAATAATGTTTGAATATAACACAACATTTATCACCTAACTGTTTACTTCCTCTACGTACTGTTGTCCTCGCAGCCTATATAAAATTCAACAAGTTCGTTGGGATGTGATGATGCTTGTAGGCCTATCCATGAATGCCATTTATTGTGGATCTGAAACGCGGGAACGAGGAATGATAGAACATAAGACACTGTTGGAAATTATGAAATTTTCGACCACTTGAAAATAATCTTAAATCAAGTCGAAAGTCTTGTTCCGACCACTTTTGGTATCCGGAAAAACCTTTATTGCTATTTCTGACCACCTTTTATTTTTGACTTGATTTAAGATCACTTTCAGGTGGTCGGAAATTTCATAATTTCCAACAGTGAGACAAGGAAATGTAAGATACGAAATGTGAAAAACACGTACAAGTATAAAATTATACATATATGTATCTGTAAATATTTTTCTTTAATTAAGTATACCGAAAATATTACTTTTTATATATGCAATTATAACTTTTTCCGTTCATAACACAAAGACACAAAAAATTATAACATAAGATACATACACATGTTATATATTTACTTATTTTTTTCAAATCGATCTGATTTAGGTACAAAATTTGTGTTCATAGACACAGAATTTCATAACATACACAAGACACAGATCGAAATTCATAACATAATACACAACTATTAATTTATTTCAGGTACAGAATTTTATAATACAAAACATGAAAACTCATAATATAAAACACATACTCATGTACACTTGTACGGAGTAAATAAATAAAAATGATGCAATAAAGTCGTCAACATGTCGTAATTCTTTTTTTTTTTTTTTTGTTTGTTATTTTGTATTATATTATTCTCAATACAGTCCCTTTCAATATTTGATCTCATATTATATTAAGAATTTATGATATGCAATTGTGAGCTAGCTTGATTTTATTTTTACGTTAAAATATTTGAGATATTTTTTAAATTTCAAAGATAGTCAAAAACATAAATTTTCAGTTTTTAGTTGTGTTTATTATAAATATAAATAAGTTGTGAATAAATTTTAGTTGTGTTTATTAAGTCGTCGTCGAACAAATAAACAAATGTAGTAAAAAATAATTTGGTTGAAGAAGTTACCTGATTAGAAGAAACAAGATATGAGGTGGAGTGAGAGCATGTGAGAAATGAATACGATAAACTAAAACGTTATTATTATGAGTTTTAAACTTTTAAATATGATTTCACATTCATAAAAAAGCGCAAAACAAAAGTGTTTTCTAATTAATTCCAATCCCAAGCTTCAAAACTATAGAGAAAAATGATCATGATGTGCAAAAAAACATAGAAAAATAAGAATAAAAACAGTACACTTAATTAGATATATACACTCAAAGATATTGTACGATTCTTGCACCAATAATGCACGATATATAAGTTCATATATTCTTGTATGTTTCTCTTCTTTCTTGGATCCATGAGGTCATTAGAAGTCACATACTTCTTCACTATGGCGTCAACATCTTCTTGAGAATACTGCTTGGATTTTTTGCCAATTGAATCGAGAAATTGTATCAATGGCTTTGAACCCCATCCAAGAAACTCCAATTTATTATTGCTTATGGATTTTCTCTTCTTGTTCTGAACCTCCATCTTAAGCTTGTAACAGTCACAATGATAGCCTTGGAAATTTGTGACATGGCGGGTTAACACAAAAAAGTGATTGGTAACGTCGACCACATTAACTGGTAATCGGTGATAATGAAAAACAATTTTACTAGTCATAAAAGTGGTCGGAAACGTGTTTCCGACTAGAAATCTTAAATTTTCAATAGTGTCTAGCATAAAAATAAATAAATTGTGAATAAAATATTATTATAGGTAAATGTAGACGTAGATAGATTAATTTTCAAAATTAGTGATTGAAGGAGCAAAGTAACACCCAAAATTAAACATAAATCATCAAACAAAAAGTGGAACAAAAAAAACAAACAAACAAATCAAGTGCAAAATCATTGAACAAATAAACAAATGTAGTAGAAATTAAATTTGGATGAAGAAGTTACCTGATTGGAAGAAACGAAGCCTGAGGCGAAGTGAGAAAAGAGGAGAGATTGAAATGAAATTGAGAAGCAACGCAGATTGAAGATTAGGTAGTGAAACCCTAATCGGCGAGATTTAAATAGTTAGCTTTAAATCTAATAATTTCGTATTCTCATAACGCGCAAATTAAAATGTTTTTTTTTTCTTTTACATTAGTTCTAATTTCAACTCCAAAAGTGTAAGAATAAATGATCTGCATGCATATGGATTCACGACTCTTGCACCGATAATGCACTATATATATAAATTGATATATTCTTGACCAGTGATTGATAAAAGTAATTTCCTCCTCGATCTCCATGTGTTCAACAACATAAACTCTAGAATAAGTGAAGAAAATAATATGATCATCTAGAAGGATAATCCTCTTTGTGCATATTGTGTGCAAGTTGTCTGGTTAAGAAACATGGAAATTAAACATTTAATTCCTATTAAAAAGCAACTATTGTTTACAATACCATTAGCATTTGTATAAAAGTATTGATCAAACTAATAAAAGAGATTAAACAATTAATTTGAAAGATCCCAAGCTACATATTCACATGAACCTCAACATATTACACAATAATCCATCAATAATGGTTCAAGATCTGGCTCTTCTTCTACAGCATTTGGTTCCCTCATCAACATATTATCCTCATCTGCAGCTCTCTCATCAGACCACCCTTCTTCTTCTGCTATGGAACCACTCATCAATGCTGGTTCAGCCTCTGCTTCTTCACCTACACCTTGTAACTCCTCCTCTATCAACACATTATCCTGCTCAGCTTTCTCAGACCACCATTCTCCTTCTTCCTCTTCTCCCTTTTTCTTAGAAGCACCCTCTTCCTGCTCAGGCGTTTCTCCAATCTCACCTTCAACAGCCACTACAACTGCCTTCTGAGCTATGACTCCTTCTTCTTCTTCTTCTTCTTTTTCTTCTTCTTCTTCTTCAGTATCTGGTTCTGCAACTGCCACAAATGGCTTCTTGGATAACAATCTTTCTTGCTCTTCGCTTGTCGAAAGTAGCCCCCTCTTCGTCATTAAATAATACATAGTAAACTCTAGAGCAGTCAAGGAAACAACATGATCATATAAATGTAAATTAAATGCATTTTATTTGATTTCTGGGCTGGAACTTATGCACACACATATTTATATATATAATTCTGAAGCTCAGTAAAGTAAATATAAAGGATATTCTGCCCTCCGTCCCTTTTCATTTGCAAGATCAATGCGTTGTTTTAACGACTCCAATTCTCTATCAATCCACTGTAACAAGATGAACCAAATAATCATCACAACATATGTATATATAGTTCTGTTCTTTCATGAAAGAATGCAGGCTTAATTTTTTGTGAACTTACATTCTTAGTAAGAAATCTGTGCAGAGATTGGGCTTTGGATTCAAACTCCTCCTGCCATGGAAAAACCATAATGTTACAAACAAAATTTAAGTTTCTGGAATAACAAATAAAGAACAGCAGGAGTTGAAGAAAGAAATCTTACAACAGTAAGCCTTTTGTGCCGGCTAGCTTTCATTTGTTTATGAAACTCCTCTAATTCTTCCTGCAAATATATATATATGCCAGCACAATCATCAGAATCGCATCAATACCTAACAACGAACTAAGTGATCAAAAATGGAATGCACCCTTTTTACCTCTGTGAAGTATCTATCTGATAGCTCAGAGATTTGAACTTCTGCTTCCACATTCGAGAGCCGAAGGTACGGTTCTCCTGAAGATTGGCTTACACCTGTATAGTAAGAACATTCAACCTTAATTATTGTCAGAAAGAAACAGAAAGAGGTTTAAGGAATCGCGGGACGATATATAGACACTTGACAGAAATACCTGTTACTTGGTGAAGATGGAATGAACGTTTCATTGTGTTAGAATCCAGTTTAGAGATTCTAACTATACTACCCACCATGTTATCTTCAAAGGTTTCTGGGTTTTCTTTCAAAAGGCCCTTAACAAATCCCAACCTCAAGAATATGAGTTTAATATTCTGTGCATTTATTGCTGCAAAACAGCTTTTTGGAATAACTTGAGCCTCAACAACATCATCATCATCATGGTTCTCTCTGAAGTGCACCTCCAGCAAATGATAAACACTACTTCTTGAAACTGTTTTCTTCTTAAACAGCTTCTCGAGTTTTTCATCACAGAGAATTTTTCTCTTCTTTCTTGGATCCATGAGGTCGTTAGAAGTCACATACTTTTTCACTATGGCCTCAACATCTTCTTGAGAATACTGCTTGGATTTTATGCCAATTGAATTGAGAAATTCTATCAATGGCTTTGAACCCCATCCAAGAAACTCCAATTTATTATTGCTTCTGGATTTTCTCTTCTTGTTTTGGACCTCCATTTTGTTGGATCCACTGCCAAGCTCCATTCAAAATATTCACCTGCCATAAAGAGTTATAAAATCTCTATACAATTGAGTGATTGAGTCTCAGCTCAATGATAGCCTTGGCAATTTGTGACATGATGGGTTAACACAAAACCAAGAAATTAAAAATTAAAAAATTTCATGATTGACAAATTAAATTATAGCATACAAACCAAATAAATCAATGTAAAAAAAAAAAACACTAAATATTTATATGGATAAATTTGATTAATATCAAATGCGTGCATTAGTCGTGGATTGGATGTGAATTTGATTAAATTTAAGTTTTTAATAGTACAATCTTTCGACTCATTTCCTATTACACTCTATAGATAGTTCACATAACTTTGTATCAAATATCAATCAATATAGATTTCAAAACTTCGATTCTTTTTTTTTTTTTTTTTTTTTAATAACTCAAATTAAAGTAACGCTCAAAACTTAGTTTTACTGTGAAAAATTTGTCATTTTTCGACCACCCAAAAAAGTAGATGAAAATTTAGGGTTTTATTTTCAATTTGTCAAGCACAGCTTGTGGTAGCAGTTTGAATCTACAACCATCTGACAAAGACTGTTGGAATTTCGATCTGACCACTTTTTAAAGGTTGTTGAAAAAATTCATAACTTTGGAAAAACGTAATGTCCTACCACTTTTGCCGGTGGTAGGAATTTTTTACACCCAATCAAAAATCTTTAAAAATTTCCTGTTTAAAAAAGAAAAATAACGAGAAACAAGATCGGGGATGAAAAAGAAAAAAAGGTGATTGGTAACGTCGATCACATTAACGGGCAATCGGTGATAATGAGAAACAATTTTACCGGTCTTAAAAGTGGCCGGAAACGGGTTTCCGACTAGAAACCCTAAATTTCCAATCATGTCTAGCATAAAAATAAATAAATTGTGAATAAAATCTTAGTATAGGCAAATGTACAAGTATATAGATTAATTTCCAAAATTAGTGATTGAAGGAGCAAAGTAACACCCTAAATTAAACGAATCATCAAACAAAAAAGTGGAACAAAAAAAACAACAAACAAACAAATCAAGTACAAAATCATTGAACAAATAAACAAATGTAGTAAAAAACTAAATTTGGTTGAAGATGTTACCTGATTGGAAGAAACGAAGCCTGATGCGAAGTGAGAAACGAGGAGAGAAAGGAGATTGAGAAGCAACGCAGATCGGCGATTAGGGTTTGTAGCGAAACCCTAATCGGCGGATCGGAGATTTAAATAGCTAGCGTTAAATATAATTTCGCATTCTCAAAACGCGCAAACTAAACATGTTTTTTTTTTTTTTTTTTTTTTTTTTTGCTTTTTCATTAGTTCTGATTTCAACTCCAAAAGTGTTAGGAAAAATGATCTGGGTGCATATATACTTAGACAATATAATGTAAACTCTAGAATAAATCAACCTAGGAAATAGTATGATCATATCACTTGTGAATCATAAATTTATTCATATATTTCAGTGTGAATTGAATGTCATTCTTGTTGTTTAACAAGACATGCACAGAACTTGCACACAATGTGCACAGGAGTTACGGTAGGATGATTATCTTACTAATATTACATGTTACTTGGGAGATTTTGAAGAATTAATTAAATAGTAAATATATCATATTTTGAGTTAATCAATCATAATATTTCACTCAATTTGTGTCCTGCAAATTTCTGGGCAAAAACTTATGCATATATAATTCTGAACCAGAGGCACATAGCTTGCACAACGCTAAATAAATTATCTCTGCGTTTGAAGAAACATGAAAAATGACACATAAATTACTTCAAAAAGATTAAAATGCCTTTCATGTTCTTTATCGTGCCAACATTACACTACATTACTTAGGAGATTTTGAAAAATTAAATGTTAAATAGATTGTGATTTAAATAACATTAATGTTTGTGGAGTAAAATTCAGTCATGTCTAAAATTTTAACATGTTACTCTATATATCTTCCAAAAAAAAAAAAAAAAAGTGTCAAAAAATGCTCCTTAATTATTATTTTTTTCTTGAGAAAATTACAATGCCTTGCAACTATACATATCTTCCAACATTTACGAAATTAAGATTATGGAATCATGTTAAGGATTAAGAGGATTAGAGTAGGGGAAGAATTAGGTTGTGTCGCACTGCTAGAAATTATTGAATTTCCGACGTACCACTTGAAAGTGATTTTAAATCAATTTGAAAGCAAAGAGTGGTCGGAAATAGCAACAAAGATTTTTCCGGATATCAAAAGTGGTCGGAATAAGGCTTTCGACTTGATTTAAGTTCACTTTCAGGTGGTCGGAAATTCCATAATTTCCAGCAGTGTCGTTTTGGCAGATCGAAAGAAGATATTATACAGGGATGACTCTTTCTAGTATGATTTATTTTTTATGTGTAAGTATGATTATTTCTCATATATAATTTGCACACTATTACACAAAAACATGGTTTATCATTTATTTATTTAGTTCCTTAAAAATTATTATTTAAAAATTAAATCTTAAAAAATCAAATAAATAGTGAAATAGCGCTAAGTTTATGAGTAGGGGTAGGCGTCGATTCGATTCGGGTGATATCCGAATTTTATTTCAGATATCTGAAAATTTCGCGTGATGTTTTTGACACCTGATATCCGAACTAAATTTTAATTCGATTATGTTCGGTTCGGGTGATTTTTTTTTTTTGAATGCTACTGACTCTATTACATTGTAATATCTGTTCAAACATACTTTTTCAACATAATGAAGCACACAGAGTCAACAACGCCTCCACTAAGGCTCGATCTCATGACCTCCCACATGGGAGAGGTCACTAAAACTAAAACTAAGACAAAATACTAATAATTAACTAAGAGACTTTATGAAATTAATATATTATTAATTATAAAATACATTTAAAACTAAATATATAATTTATGTTATTATATTTATAAAAAAAAAAAAATTAGTTAGTTCGAGTTTCGGGTTGTGTATGGATAAAATTTTAACTCTGATACCCGAACTAAATTTATATCCGCCATTTATATTCGGATATTTCAAAATTTAAATATCCAGATTCCAGACCATTAACTATTCGGATTCACCGAAAATTTGTAATTCGATTCCGGTTTCGGGTGTTCATCCGGATAATCCAAATTATGCCCACCCCTATTCATGAGGGACAAAATTAGGTATATATACATGCTTTGTCCAATTTTACATATTTTTGTTGTTAGACCACGAGATGTCCTAAGTAAATCCTAATTATAAAAGGAACCTTTAAATCCTTATTATACTCAAACTAATCCTCATTTGTACATAATCGACACAATTAAAAGGTAAAGTGCTGAACATATTAATTTAAAATTTGACTATTCTATAATCAAATTAACATTTCTTTAAATTTTAAAATTTGAACTTATGAGTATTTTTTTCCTGCAATCATCATCGGAATCACACCAATTCCTAACAACGAACAAAAATGGAATGCACCCCTTTTACCTCTGTGAAGTATCTATCTGATAACTCAGAGATTGGAACTTCTGCTTCCACATTCGAGAGCCCAAGGTACGGTTCTCCTGAAGATTGGCTTACACCAGTATAGTAAAAGCATTCAACCTTAATTATTGTCAAAAAGAAACAGATCAAAAGAGGTTTAAGGAATTGCGGGATAACATCATCGAACAAATAAACAAATGTAGTAGAAAACCAAATTTGGTTGAAAAAGTTACCTGATTGGAAGAAACGAATCCCGAGACGAAGTGAGAAAACAGAAGAGAATTGAAACGAAATTGAGAAGTACAGTGATGCAAATCGAAGAATGAAATCCTAATCGGCGGATCGAAGAATTTAAATAGTTAATCTTAAATCTAATTTCGCATTCTCAAAACGTGCAAACTAAAAATTTTCAATATAACACTATAAGTTCATATATTATTTCTTAGTGCTAATAATAATCACACATAACTTGCACACAATATGCACAAATATTAGATGTTACTTGATAGATTTTGAAAAATCAATTATTAAATAAATCGTCTCAAATAAAATTTACCAATTCAAAGTAACTATTGTTGAAAATACAATTAACATCTGTATAATTTGATCAAACTAATAAAAGAGATTAAACAATTAATTATACAGACTTTCTCAAATCCAAATTACATGACAATTGTTTATAGTAAATTCAAGGTGTTGAGCAAATGAAGGAGAAGAACAGACTGAGATTGATGCTGGCCGATCTTCCATACCCGAAAATCTGGTCCCAAATGGCCCTGCTGGAACCATATCCTTAGTTGATTTAAGCAGACAGGACCTCCATCAATGTAGCCTCTATGATTTGCTCCATGCCAAACAAATGCCCTGGGATTCTCAGCAACTACTGTTCCTGGGAGCCCTTGAGTTCTTGAACTACTGGCTCCATTATTTCCTCCTCGAATGGAAGATTGGCGCTGCTGATATGCTTTAACCCATTGCTGCAGTTGTTGCAGAGCTTGAGCCCTTTGCTGCTGCTGTTGCAGTTCTTGAACCCATTGTTGTTGAAGCTGCTGGGCTTGAGCCCTGACACTGTTCACCATTAATGCAGAGAATTCTTGATTGTAGTTGTGTCTTGTGGGGTTTGGGCGCATGGAAGAAGCATTGGGGCCTCCAAATGTGATATAGTCCTCTTCCATGAAGGGCAAGCCTGCAGGGGTTTGATGGAGTGCAAATTAAGTGTGTGATGTGGGGAAGAAATAAAGAGTGTTTTGGGTTGATTGGGAGAGTAAATAAGCATAGGTTACCTGCAAAAGAAAACCGAGAAGCTGTCCTAAGAATTTTTCTTGTGTAGTTGGCTCTGGCTTCTAATTCTGTCTGGATATCATCCATTGGAGTAGAACTGGTTTCTCCTTCCTGTCTTGTTGGTTCAGGTTCTGGCTCTTCTGATACAGCATTTGGTTGCCTCATCAACACATTTTCCTCCTCTGCAGCTTCTTCTTCTTCTTCTTCTTCTGCTATGGAAGCACCCATCAATGGTGGTTCAGGCTCTGGTTCTT